GGGTTGGAACTCAGTCTGGGCCTTCCATATAGGTGGTGGGAACCCAAGTACTTGAGCCATCTTCTGCCTCCCAGAGTGTGCTTTAGCAGGGAGCTGGATGGGAAGCAGAGCTGTTAGTCCAGGTGGCCCCAGGCAGCCAGGGCTGCCTGTTATTCATGTCCTTGATTTGAGTTTAAGAGAAATTCAGGAGCTAGTTGGAGAATAGCAAAGCTTGCAACCAGCAAGTGTTATATTGAGAAAGTAAAGATATACTCTCCCCGGATAAAATGGGGCCTCTTTGGAGGGGAGCTGGCCATGTCTGAAGTGTTGAATGTTATGTGTTCATTTAATGAAAGGAGAGGTACTTTTTTTTTTTTTTTGACAGGCAGAGTGGACAGTGAGAGAGACAGGTCTTCCTTTGCCGTTGGTTCACCCTCAAATGGCCGCGCGGGCCGGGCGGCTGCGGGCCGCCGCACCGCGCTGATCCGATGGCAGGAGCCAGGAGCCAGGTGCTTTTCCTGGTCTCCCATGGGGTGCAGGGCCCAAGCACCTGGGCCATCCTCCACTGCACTCCCTGGCCACAGCAGAGAGCTGGCCTGGAAGAGGGGCAACCGGGACAGAATCCGGCACCCCAACCGGGACTAGAACCCTGTGTGCTGGCACCGCTAGGCGGAGGATTAGCCTAGTGAGCCGCGGCGCCGGCCAGGAGAGGTACATTCTAAGTTGAGGAATATTCATGGTTTTTCGGTGAAGTAGGTGGAAATTTCCTGGAATCTTATGTGGTCTGATATTTCCTGTCTTGGTAGCTGGTAGGTATGTTATTCTGCATGCTAATGTATTACAATGGACAAATAATGAGCCATAAGTCAATCTAAGTTAGCCTTGGCCTCCTAAAGCCTGGTCTGTTCATCTTGTTTAAAATTTGTTGGAAAGAGAGAGAGCCTGGGACTCCACTGAATCTCCCACATGGGTGTCAGGGGCCCAGGTACTTGGACCATCTTCAGCTGTTTTCCCAGGCTCGTTAACAGGGAGCTGGATTAGAAGTGGAGCAGCTGGGACTTGAACTGGTGCTTTTACAGGATGCTGGTGGTGTGGGAGGCAGTGGCTTAATCCACTATGCCACAATCCCCCCCTCTATTTGTTTATCTTTAGAGCAAGGGGAACCAAACCCATATCCTTTAGGTCTTGAGATAATAAGAATGATTACTTACACATGACTCAACTGCTTCCTCTGCCTCCCTCTCACAAGTAGGATCTTAAGCCCTGCATCAAATGCCCACCCTATAAAGCAACTTGGTACTTTGAAGAACTGTTTAATAGTTCCTTTAAATGTTGAACATAGAATTCATATGACCCAGCATATATAGGGGTCTAGCTCTGTATGGAAGAGAATTAAAAACAGGCAAGGAGACTTGAAAAAGTTAATGAAAAAAGAATGAAAAGCTAAGTTTAATTTGATGCAAAAAATTTTAAAATCCATGCATAGTTTTTGCATCATGTGCATTTTCTATAAACATTTTGAAACAGTCTTATATGCATAGATTTTGAGTTTTTTACTAAAATATTTACAAAATTTATTTCACAGGAAGAATGAAAGAAGGGGAGAGGGGAGAAAGAGAAAGGCATCCCAGTTCCCATCCACTGGTTCACCTCTGAGTGCCCACAACATCTGGATTATGGCCAGATTGAGCTGGTAGCTGGAAATTAAATTACATCCAGGTCTCCCACTTGAAGGTTAGGAAGTCAACTACTTGAGCCATCACCTCCTGTTTTCTAGGGTCCTTATTAGCAGGAATTGGAGCAAAACTGGGACTCAGACTCAGACATTCCAACTTGGATGGACTCATCCCATTGGCATCTTAAATTTCTAGGCCAAATGTCTGCCCCAAACTTACCACTTAATTTCATCTTCCATGAACATTTTGAAGTACCCTCATGTGTCCACACTAAAACCTGTACATGAATGTTCGTTTATAGCAACAAAAAAATGGAAACTCTAGGTGAATGGCTATGTCCAGATACAGTTGAGTACATAAACAAAATGTGGTATTCCCATGCAATGAACTACTTAGCAATAAAAGAGCAGCCACTGCTTATTAGCAAAGATGACTCTCAGAAGCAGTATGTTAAATTCATGGAGCTGTTCACTAAAATAGGTGAATTTTATGGCATATAAATTATTCCTCAATTAGAGCAAAATGCATTTAAAGGAAATCTTAGGGCTAATTAGGAAAAAAATCAGTATTATACATTTGATAATAAACCAATAAATAAATGAAGATGAAGGAAGAGATCTTATTTACTAAAGGTTAAGTGCTGGCTAGGAAATAAAATGCATGGAGTTGTGCAACTGGAAAATTAGCATTTTGCAGCCATCTAGAGTCAGTGATTCAATTAAGAATCATCAATCAGTGCTTACTCTAGTTGGGGGATTTTCGTGAGGAGTAGGAAATTTGCATTATCTAAAACTATCTCAGGTGGGCATCTGGAGGTTGCGATCCATTTGAGATGTGCATCAACTTCCCATATTGAAGTTCCTGAACTCCCAATTCCTGCCTCCTCCTAATGTGCATCCTGGGAGGCAGCAGATGGTTCAAGTAGTTGGTTTCCTGCCACCAGTGTGGGAAACTTGGATTGTGTTCCCAGGTTCAGTCTGACCCAAATCTTGCTGTAGAGGGTATTTGAGTTAATCAGTATTGGGAGATTTCTGTCATCTATTTCAAATAAATAAAATTTTCACAAACTGCTTATTGTTAGAAGGGAACAGTAGTACAGGAATCAGAGAGCATTCTGATCAGGTGATTAAAAAATATCATTAATAAGGGGCCAGGAGTATTGAGAAGGATACTGTCACCCAAGTAGTAATCCTCCTGAAAATGTGGAGCCTGAATTTACTCATGAAAAACAATTGGGCATACCCCAGATGAGGGTGGACATGGGCGTTTTTGGCACAGTGATTAAGATGCTGCATTCCATATTAGAGTGTCTGGTTCAAGTCTTTTACTCCATTTCCAATCCAGCTGTCTGCTAACACATACCTTAGAAGGCAGCAGATGATGACTCAAGGACTTGGATGTCTGCCACCCATGTTGGAGATCTGGATTTGTTCCTCACTCATGGCTCTGACCTGGCCCCGCCTTGGCTGTTGTAGGCACGTGGGAAGTGAACCAGCATATGGGTCATCTGTGTATTTCTCTGTTTCTCAGGCTTTGCCTTTCAAACATAGTGAAAATAAGTTTAAAAAAAATTAAAAGGATCGTGGTTGGGTTGTATTAAATATTGATGTCATAAAAGACAAAGGAAGGTTGTACAGACGTTCCAAATTAAAGAAGGCTAGGGAATAACAGTGAAGAACAATACCTAACCCAGACTGGATCTGGATCTGGAGAGAGAGAAATATACTGTAAAAGCTACAATTGGGTCAGTTGACAAAACTGAGACAGTTCAAAACTGGAATTTGGAAAATAGATGAGATTAAAAAATCATTACCAAAGTTGCTAATTGTATTACGATTATATAAGAAAACAACCTAATTCTTGAAAAATACACACTAAAGACTTTAGGGACAGAAGGTTTTGATGTATGTGATATATCCTCTGAATAATTTTAGAAAGTTTGTGTAGACAGTGGTCTTGTGTGTACAGCAAAGGATAAAGCAAGTAGGAGCAAGATCTTAAACGTATGGAATTAGTAAAGACTATATAGGTGTTCTTGTAACTTTTCTATAAGTTAGGAATTATCTCCAAAGAGTATTTTTTTTTTTTTTGGCAGTGGGAGGTGGTTTGATTTAAGAATTAAAGGTTTTTATTTATTTGCTGCTGTTTTCTGAGTTGTATGTAGTTTATTTCTCTAAATTTTTAAAGTTTGTTGTTGTAAGCTTTTCAAGGGAGTTGGGAGAAGAAACAGGCAGGACTTTTTTTTTAAAGATGTATTTGAAAGAGTTACACAGAGAGGGGAGAGGCAGAGAGAGAGAGATATCTTTCATCTGCTGGCTCACTCCCCAGTTGGCTGTGCTGATTTGAAGCCAGGAGATTCTATCCGAGTTTCCCATGTGGGTGCAGGGGCCCAAGGACTTGGGCCATCTTTTACTGCTTTCCCAGGGAGCGAGAGCAGAGAGCTGGATTGGAAGAGGAGCAGCTGGGATTAGAACTGGTGCCCACATGGGATGCCAGCGCTTCAGGGCTTTAACCCACTGTACCACAGCGCTGGCCTCCAGGACTTTTTTTTTTTTTTTTTGAAGATTTTTATTTATTTGAAAGGCAGAATTACAGAGATAGGGAAAGACTGAGAGAGAGGTCTTCCCTCCACTGGTTCACTTGCCATGGCTGCAACGGCCAGTGCTGAACCAGATTGACCAGGTTGAAGCCAGGAGATGGGATTTTTTCCCAGGGGTACAGGGGCTCAAACATTTGGGCCATCTTCTGCTTTCCCAGGTGCACTGGCACCGAGATGGATCGGAAGTGGAGCAGCAAGGACTCAAACAGGCACAGATTTGGATGCCAGTGTTGCAGGCAGTGGCTTAACTTGATACACTACAAAACTGGTGCCAGGCATATTTAATTTTAAAATTTAAAATAATTTTAATTTTTTAAAAATATTTATTTTGAAAGGCAGAGTTATAGAGAGATAGGGAGAGACAGATCTTCCATCTGTTGGTTCCCTCCCTAGATGGCCACAGTGGCCAGCTGTGGACCATGCCAAAGCCAGGAGCTTCATTTGAGTCTCCCACATGGGTGACAGGGGCTCAAATACTTGGGCCATCTTCTGCTACTTTCCTAGGCCATTAGACCTGAAGTGCAGCATCTGGAACATTAAATGGTGCCCATATGGGATCCAGATGGTGGCTTTACCTGCCATGCCACAACACCTGCCCCAGGCAGACACATTTATGATCAAGCTTAATTAAGTTTGAAGTTCTCAGTTTGTTAAGTGAGATTAAGTGGTCCAAGATTACATGGTAATAATTTGGCTAAAAATACTGTAATGTAGTTGTGCTCACTGAAGAATTTTTTTTCCTTTAGAATCTACAGAATGGCTGATAAGTTGGATGAATTTATTGAAGAGCGAAAAGCCAAATTGGCCAAAGACAAAGCTGAATTGGAGCGTGATCCACCTTACATGGAAATGAAGGTAAAGTTTATAATTTTCTTCCAACATGTTTCATTAAATTATCCTGGAAGATTATTCCTGTATAAATGCAAAGATCCTCTTCTGTGAGAATCTTGTTTTATACTTTAGTTTGTGCTGTCATTTGTAATTCTGAGAGCCTGACTCCAGAAAAGATTTCAGTGGTTTTGAATGCAGTTTTTTGTGATGTTTTATATCTGTTTCTCCTCTCACTTGTTGGAGTTTTAATGAATAATTGTGTGCTTCATAAGATGATTATGAGACCTATTCTAGTACACATAACATCTGGAATATAAAACAGAAATATAAAATCAAGTTTTCATACTGTGAAATGAAAAAATTCATTTATTGAATCAGTTAACTTGATTCTGTAGAGTTCATTTGAGTAGTTTAGTTTCTATTTTTAGAATATTAATTTGTTAAAATGATTGTTTCTGAAAGTAATGTTTGGAAAGTTTTCTTAATTTTGGTGCAAGAGTAATTATCCTTTTTAGCAAATACATTATTGAGATTGTGCTATGCTCTCAGGGTACAGCATTAATCTAGACATGGCACCTTCTCTCATGGGTTCAGTATGTAGAAGGTGCAGCATGTCAATTCATCTCTGCCATATGGTCCATCATAATTAGAGTAACCAAATAAATTGGTTTGCCCAAGACAGTTTTGGTTTATGTTTTGTCTTAGTGTTTTCATCTAGTTTAGCATTTATCCTGGACGTAAGTTACCCTCGTTGAGATGATAAATAACATGATCACACTAATTATGTTATTTAACTCACATAGTTAACATTTATTGAATGCAAACTATGGATAAGGCATAGTCTTAAGAGGTTATAATTCATGGCCAGCGCCACGGCTCACTTGGCTAATCCTCAACCTGCGGCGCTGGCACCCCAGGTTCTAGTCTCGGTTGGGGCGCCAGATTCTGTCCCAGTAAATATTTTGAGATTGATTGTATATTTTTTGGATTTTCTTGCCCCTGCTTTTGTAAATATTATGTCTCTTTCAGGGGAATGCATCAGAGAAGCTTTCTGAAAACAGTAAAATATTAATCTCCATGGCGAAGGAAAACATACCACCAAACAGTCAACAAACCAGGGGTTCCTTAGGTATGTCACTAGAGATGCTAAGCTGATTTTAAGATATCTGTTAACAGACTGTTGCAAAAAAGTTTCATCTGTCAGAAAAATAAAATATTTCTTTGGAATCTTAGTAACTTTCCTTTTTGGAAATAGGCTATTTTTATATGTAGCCTATTTGACTAAATAGGCTACATATAAAAATAACTTGTATTGAGAACTTGTCTATTTTATGTGATACTGCTTTGGCTATAATTTATGGAAATCATAGCTGTATATAATATAACCAGAAGTTAATTGGGAAGTCTGAATGGAACTTTGTATGTGTTTGAGAGAGAGACTTTGGGATGGGGCGGGAGGAAGGGAGAGAAATTGTATTATTTGGCTGGCGCTGCGGCTCAATAGGCTAATCCTCCACCTTGTGGCGCCAGCACACCGGGTTCTAGTCCCGGTCTGGGCGCCAGATTCTTTCCCAGTTGCCCCTCTTCCAGGCCAGCTCTCTGCTGTGGCCAGGGAGTGCAGTGGAGGATGGCCCAAGTCCTTGGGCCCTGCACCCGCATGGGAGACCTGGAGGAAGCACCTGGCTCCTGGCTTTGGATCAGCGCGGTGCGTCAGCCGCAACATGCCAGCCGCGGCGGCCATTGGAGGGTGAACCAACAGCAAAAGGAAGACCTTTCTCTCTGTCTCTCTCTCTCTCACTGTCCACTCTGCCTGTCAAAAAAAAAAAAAAAAAAAAAATTATTTGTTGAATAAAAGTAGTGGACTTGCTTTTGTTTAAAATTCAAGGAAATATACTTCATTATTACAGTACCACAACACAGCATTATGGTAATTTATATTTTATGGTAATTTATATTTTCTATTCATTATGAGTACTTTGTTATAGGTGAATTAATTTTAAAGATTGTATGCTTTTAGCATTAAATATTTAATTTGATCCACAATTACCATAGAAACCAAATACTTCCAATTGTTATAGCAACATACTGTTAAACTATCTGAGAGTCACTGATGTTGTACTGATGAAGTGACATCACTTCAAATGACATTAAAATGACACTAATGCTTTACTTGCCACCAGAACCATCAGAAGACAACAGCTGAATAAGTAAGTCTTACCATGTTTCTTAGCTTATTTAGTTAATTGAGGTGCCATTGTTAATGCATAGATAAAAATGAACAGATTTTTAAAATTGCTCCATACAGTTCTTAATTTTATTTCTATAACCTAACCTCTGATGCTATAAAATGTTTGTGTCAGGTGAAAAAATTAAGAAATATTGTTTTTCATTTAGCTTCAATTAATGAATAATTCAGAAAGCCTTATATATTATTGGTCTACTAAGACAGTTATTACTGTTACTGAGTCAATGGCAAAAAGCAGATACTCTTAGTAAATAAAATTAAACTTAATTTCAGCATTTACAAATGAAAATGAATCACGCTTTTCACATTCTTTTATATAAACTCACCAAGTAGAATTGAAGCACACTAGTGAAAGCTTCCTTAAATATATGGCTTTTCAGAAAGCTATAAATTGCTTTTTCTCTGTATGGGAAAAATGAGTCTCTTGGGAGATATCATCCTTGCTGCATTATTGTCCTTTTCTGCTTGACACAATAGAACATCCATTATGACCATATGTAACTAGATGCGTAACTATTATTAGTTACTACCTCCTCTCAGTGTTACTACCTCCTGTCTGTGCAGTCTGTTAAAAGCAGAAATGAAATACTAAGAATAGTATATCCTTTCCTCCCCTTATTCCCTACATTTCCTCTGGCATTTGTTTATATATTCATTTGCCTAGTTCTTCAATAAACATTTCTTGAGTTCAAGTTGTATGCCAGACATTATAAAATTGAATAAAGCATGAGAATTGCCATCATGGATTTTACAGTTTAGTTTCATATTTTATACTGCATTCTGAATGTGAGAATTAGAACTTTTTCTCCATAAATACTGTATCTTCTTTAAAAATAAGTTTTAGGTTCCTTTGTGAGGAAAAAGTTTCTTTCTAGGATGATAAATAAATCCGAGTTCATGCAGTACTTCAGATTCTTTTGAAGAGAGTTTGGAGCTTGTAATCTTCTATCACACCCTCTATCCTCAAGGAATTAAACAGTCCAGAAGTGTTTATCAAGATAATCCCACAGTGTTTATAGTGGAAGGCTAAATTTCATGTCCCGTACAAAACAGTTGACAGTCATTTGTGTTCTAGTTTGGCCTTTCCTGCTCTGAAATATTTCAGTGATGTAATAAAGCAATAACATGAACATGACACATTTGTAAATTATCAATTAGCTGTGTAGGAAAACAGAAAAATGATTTTTCATGGTAGTTTATAAATGGTAGTTATTTTAGCTTGTAGCTGAATCTCTGAAGGAAAAATTTTGTGTTCAGAAATTATTTTTTAATATTCTTTTCATATATTATTACCAAAAGAATGGAGAGTTTTATTTGAAAGAGTCAGGGAGAGGGAGAAGGAAAGAAGTCTTCCATCTGCTGGCTCTCTTGCCAGATGGCCACAATGGCCAGGACCAGGAGCTTCATCTGGGTCTCCCACAGAGGTGGCAGGGGCCCAAATACTTGGACCATCTTTCACTGCTTTTCCCAGACCATTAGCAGGTAACTGGATCAGAAGTGGTGTGGCTGGGACGCAAACTGGTGCCCATATAGCATGCTGGCACTGCAGGCTGCTGCTGTACCTGCTATGCCACAATGCTGACCCCCATATCTGTGCTTCTTGACATTGTATTTTAATGTTAAATATTTGAAAAGTATTAAGTATTTGGTTTTTAGTAGCTTTATTGAGGTATAATTTATATATCATAATGTTTACTCATTTTTATTCTTAAAAGATTTTATATTTAAAAGATTTTATTTAATGATTGTAGATTTCATAGGTACAACTTTAGGAATATAGTGGTTCTCCCCCCCCCCCCAAACCAACCCTCCCACCCCCACTCCCATCCCACCTCCTACTCCCATTCTTCATTAAGATTCATTTTTAATTTAACTTTATGTATAGAAGACCAGCTCTATACTAAATAAAAATTTCAACAGTTTGCACACACACACAGTGTATAAAGCACTGCTTGAGAACAAGTTTTGCAGTTAATTCTCACAGTTCAACTCATTAAGAACTGAGGTCCTACAAGGGGAGTAAGTGCTCAGTGATTTCTGTTGTTAATTTAACAATTAACACTCTTATTTATGATGTCAGTGATCACCCGAGGCTCTTGCCATCAGCTGCCAAGGCTATGGAAGCCTTTTGTGACCACAAACTCCGTCAAGTACTTGGACAAGGTCATAATCAAAGTGGAAGTTCTCTCCTCCCTTCAGAGAAAAGTACAACCTTCTTTGGCCCCTTCTTTTCACTGGGGTCTCGCTCACAGAGCTCCTTCATGTAGGATATTTTTTGCCACAGTTTCTTGGCTTTCCTTGCCTGCAATGCTCTCATGGGCTTTTCAGCCACATACTCATTTATTTTTAAAGATTTATTTTTTATTTATTTGAAAGGCAGAGTAACAGTGGGAGAGACAAAGAAAGAGATCTTCCACTTGCTCATTCACTCCCCATATGGCAACAATAGCTGGGGCTGGGCCAAGGTTAAGCCAGGAGCCAGGATTTCCATTCTGTTCTCCTACAGGGGTCTAGGGAGCTGTATTGGAAGTAGAGCAGCCAGAACCTGAATTGTCACCCTAATATGGGGTGCCAGTGTCATAAGTGGTGGCTTAATCCACTGGCCCCAGATTTACCCTTTTAAAGTATACAATCTGGTGATTCTTTTTGTTTATTTCAAGTTGTATAGTTATCACTATTGTCATCCCTAAATGTGATTTTATATTTTATTTTATTTACTTTTTAAAGATTTATTTATTTGAAAGTCAGAGTTATACAGAGGAGAGGCAGAGAGAGAGAGGTCTTCCATCTGCTGGCTCACTCCCCAATTGGCAGCAATGGCCGGAGCTGTGCCAATCCGAAGTCAGGAGCCAGGAGCTTCCTCCAGGTCTCCCACGTGGGTGCAGGCGCCCAAGGACTTGGACCATCTTTTACTCCTTTCCCAGGCCATAGCAGAGAGCTGGATGGGAAGTGGAGCAGCCAAGTCTTGAACCGGCATCCATATGCAATGATGCCACTTCAGTCCAGGGTGTTAACCCACTGCGCCACAGTGCTGGCCCCTGTGATTTTATATTGTAATCCTTATGTAAGAAACAATACTCAGTTTCTCTGTAAAAATTAGCACACATTTACGAGTTTCTCTTTGGGATGTTGAAAAAATTCTGGGGATGGGTAATGATGATGGTTATACAACATTGTGAATGTATATAAATATGCCATTTAATTGTACATTTAAAAATTGTTGAAGTGGTAAACCTTATATTATGTATATTTTTCCATAGTAAAAATATTAACATCTGTTTATGTGGAATGAGAATTGGTGGTTTAACTCAAAATTATTTGGAAGTATTGTCTTAAACATTTGACCCTAATATTTTTTCTCAGAAACATATTTTATAGGAAATACGTTTTTATGCTAAAATATGTGTTAATTTTCTAAGACAAAAGCACATTAAAATATTGTATATATTTTTAAGTTTTGTTATACAAGTTTCATGTATTTTATATATATGTATTTAGAAACATAATGATACTTCCCACCTAACCCTCCCTCCTGCCTATGCTTCAGTTCTTCCTCCTCCCTCTTCTATTCTCACTCTTAGTTTTTTTTAAAAGATTTATTTATTTTACTTTAAAATCATAGTTAGAGAGAAGCAGAGAGAGAGAGAGAGAGAGAGAGAGAGAGAGAATCTTCCGTCTACTGGTTCAGTCCCCAAATGGCCACAACGGCTGGAGCTGCGCCGATCAGGAGCCAGGAGCTTCTTCTAGGTCTCCCACGGTGCAGGGGCCCAAGGACTTGGGCCATCTTCCACTGCTTTCCCAGGCCATAGCAGAGAGCTGGATCAGAAGTGGAGCAGCCGGGTCTCGAACCGGCGCCCATATGGGATGCCAGCACTGCGGGCGGCAGCTTTACCCACTACGCCACAGCGCCGGCCCCCTCACTCTTAGTTTTTACCAAGATCTATTTTCAGTTTACTTAATGATCGTAAGGTTAATCCTACACTAAGTAAAGAGTTCAACAAATAGTATGAAGAAAAAAACCTGTTCCTCAACAAAAGAGACAAGGGCTGTAAACAGTTATCAAATCTCAAAATGTCCATTTCACGCCAATATATTACATTCTAAGTACTTTATTAGTTACCCCAGATCAGGGAAAACATATGACACATGTCTTTTTGGGACTGGCTTATTTCACTAAGTATAATTAAGTGAAGAAGTGACAAGAAGGATATTTTCTCTGCTTTAATTTTCCTGTCCTTGAAAAAGCAAATGCTGTATAATGTAGGACCATTTCTCTAGACAGGAAAAAAGTAAATATACACACAGAGGTATGTTACTCAATGCGGTAAGCCACTGCTTGGGACCCTGCATCCTGTATCGTATTCCAAATGAGTCACAGCTCTTCTGTGCTATATACCTTCTTGCTAATATATCCTGGGAGGCAACAGAAAGATGGCTCAACTGCCATCCATGTCAGGATCCAGATAAAGTTCTGGGCTCCTGGCTCTGGGTGGACTCAACCCTGATTGTCACAGCCATTTGGGGAGTGGTCCAGCAGATAGAAAATGTTTCTCTCTTCCTCTCTCTCAAATCAATAAAAGAAATATTTAAAAGAAAAAATAATACAAAGGTATTTTTATATAGACACTTTTTTTTTTTCTTGCCAGGCAGAGTTAGAGTTATAGACAGTAAGAGAGAGACAGAAAGGTCTTCCTTCTGTTGGTTCACTCCTCTAATGGCCACCACAGCTGGTGCTGTGCTGATCTGAAGCCAGGAGCCGAGTACTTCTTCCTGGTCTCCCATGCAGGTGCAAGACCCAAGCACTTGGGCCATCCTCCACTGCCCTCCCGGGCCACAGCAGAGAGCTGGACTGGAAGAGGAGCAACTGGGACTAGTACCCGGCGCCCCAACCGGGAGTAGAACCCGGGGTGCCGGCGCCGCAGGTGGAGGATTAGCCAAGTAAGCCATGGCGCCGGCCTTACAGACACTTTTTAAAAGCTCCATAAGAAGACAATAGAAAAACCACAGTGTTAGTTGTGCTAGGAAGGAGAATGGAGTGATGGGAATGATACTTTCCACTGTGTGTGTCACCCATTGAACCATCTTAAATGAGAAATTTATGATCCTAGTCTCAGAATCAGTGTAACTGTGTTTCTTCCTACTGTGCTTTGTTCCAGGAGTTAGAACTTTGAGATTGGTTTGAACTGTGTTACTTAAATTGTGTTCTTCCTAGGAATTGATTATGGATTAAGTTTACCACTTGGAGAAGAATATGAACGGAAGAAACATAAACTAAAGGAAGAATTGCGGCAAGATTACAGGCGCTATCTTACTCAGGTAAGGAGTTCAGTCAATAAGTTGAACGTTATGCTTCAGAATTCATCTCGTAAATTTGTTTTTTGAAAGTGTTAGTCGAGAGCCGGCGCCGTGGCTCAATAGGCTAATCCTGCGTCTGGGGGACGCGGGCAAACAGGGTTCTTGTCCCGGTTGGGGCGCCGGATTCTGTCCCGGTTGCCCCTCTTCCAGGCCAGCTCTCTGCTATGGCCAGGGAGTGCAGTGGAGGATGGCCCAGGTGCTTGGGCCCTGCACCCCATGGGAGACCAGGAAAAGCCCCTGGCTCCTGGCTCCTGCCAGGATCACCCCGGTGCGCCGGCTGCAGCGGCGGCCATTAGAGGGTGAACCAGCGGCAAAGGAAGACCTTTCTCTTTCTGTCTCTCTTTCTCACTGTCCACTCTGCCTGTCAAAAAAAAAAAAAAAAAAAAAATATAAACAGAAAATATATAAGTAATCGAAAGTGTTAGTCGTGTTAATTTTCAAATTTTCAGTGGTATCTATCAAAGTAATAAAATTAAGTGACGTGTGATATTGATAGGGAAAAATGTCCTGAGAATCGGTGCCATAGAATAACACAGACTCTTGATCTTTAGAGTAAGGCAATGAGTTTTAGTTTTAAATGATATAATAATTTTTGTTTATTCATGCTTCTGTACATTTATCATGGTTTAAAATAGCCAGTTATGATTTCCTACTCTTCCACTGGCCCCTGCCATGTATTAAAATCACATGTCGAGTTCTAGTTGCTAATTATTTTCTTCTTAGCTAAGCTTATCAAATTCATTTAATATGTTTATTTAATAACCAAACTCTTTGCTTTATGATTTAATGTTTTGTTTAGCAGAATACTTGTTTTAAATATATTTCATTAAATTATATAATAACTAAAGGTTTATGTAAGTTTTAAAATACAGTTTACTTTTTGGATTATTAAAGGATTTTAAACAATCATGTCGTTTCTAACTCATCCCAAGATATTCTTTAGTTTTTCACTGCTTTTTAATGGTGTTTGTTTCAAATGCATAAGTAGTCTCTTATTTATTGTGATTTGCGTATGGAGAGAATGGACTTTGACTGAATACATTTTATCAATGGCTTCTTTCCTTGACTTTAGGGCATTACACAAGCAAAAAGAAAGGTAGGATTGCCTGCGAAATGTTCTTTAGTTTTATTTATTTTTTGTTTTTTTTTTTTTTTTTTTTGGTAAAGATCTAATTGCTTGCAGTCATTTGCATTTATGAGATTCAAACTAGTTAGGAAAATAATTTCATTTGTCATTTCTGAGACTTTTGAATGGTACTATTTAGTATCGTTGCTTCCAATAAGTTGACAGTTTTCACATTAAAATTTTCCATTCTTGTAATCATTGATTTTGATTCCTGCTTTGCGCTTCCTTTTTTTGTTGCTTTCTTATGCATTCTTTGTAAATATTCCCCAGCTTTGTTTTCAGCATGCTAGTTTTTGTTCTTCAGGTTACGCTAATCACAATAAGATTAATGTAATCATAGAATATTGAAGATATTTGAAGATGTTTGAAATACATTTTGTGACAATTTGGATTACTTGATATTTTTGCACTAAAAGTTGTGGATTGCATTTGTAAGCTTATATTGGCAGATGAAAAGTTTTGCACTTTTACAAATCTGTTTTTAAAAAGAATGTTCACATTTCTTAACTCCTAAACTAACATTTTTTAAACACTTAAGCTGAAGATGAATTAGGCATGAATTCTGTTTTCAGGAGATACAGCATCTTGATTTAGAGATATAGTGTTCATACAATTCAGAGATAACTACAACAGGAAGGATGTAATGATCAGGAAAGGCCTTCAGAGTTGGAGGTGTTATTTTGTAAGGCATTATATAATAGAATCTGGGTTATCTAGAGGAAGATCAAGGAGAGAAATCTTTCAAGATAAGAAATACAGAATGAAGAATGACTCGGAGGGTAGGTTAAGCTTTATAGAATGAGACATTTAGGTTTGCTACTATGACTGGGTCAGAGTGTGATTGTTTTTGAGAGTAGTGAAACATAATTATGTAGGATATTAGGATAATATTAGGTAGCAATAGATTTTTAACTTGTGTGTGATAGGCAGTGATGAAACATTTGTTATACATGACTTTTATGTTCCATCCTGACTCTCTTGACTTGCACCTCATTGTGTTTGGGTGGTGGTTTCCTCTGGTATAGGAATTCCTTCTGGTACCAGATGCCTACCACCTGGCATTACTTCATGGTCTAATGATGGGGGATCATAAGAAGAAATTATCTTTATGAAAAATTAGAGATCAAGGAGCATAAATCTTTAAATCTAAAGACATATAAAGGAATTTCCTTGTGATGGATTATCAAGAAAATAGTGTAGTAGAAGAAGAATTATTTTCTTAAAGTGAAAGCGATAATCTTTGGTTTATATCTGAGGAGATGGAAGTGGAAAGGGAAGCAAAGGGAAAAGAAAATGAGATAGAATATTGGGAGGTAATTGCAGCTTTCTGGATCTCTATAATATGTATTGTTTCGAAGACCCCCTCCTGGGTTTCTTGTGGTTTCTAGACTATTGGATTGCCTGGAAACTTTAATTTTGCTTAGAAAGGCTATTAAACTACTACCGTCATCTTTATACTTTTTAAGAATAAAGGATGCCTAACAGTGCCAAAAGGACATATATTCAAAGCAGTTTTTAAATTGAATCAGTAAATTAATATCTCTGACCCAGAGCTCTCTGTCTTACACCTTAGAGTTTTCTGTCTGATTTCCTACTTGGCATTCTCACTTAGAAATCTAACTGGTATCTAATATGTTAAGAATATTCTAGAAAATATCTGCAAAGAAACTCCTGTTTTCCTGTCAGTTTCCTCTGCTTGAATAAGCTTTAGGAGGGTGAGATTTTTTTTTTTAAATCTGTTTTCTTCACTGATGAGTTCCAAATGTATAAAATAATTTGGACATATAGTAGTTCCTCAATATTTATTGAATGAATGATTAAAATTCAGCCTTTTGAAAAACTTACCTATGTTGTTCTTACTGTTTAGTTTTTTCATTTATCTTGCTGGACTTGGATTGGAGGTGGGAAATTGCTCAATGAAGGAACGAGCATGTTATATCTGTCTTTACAGAGTTGGAACTCTATCTTTTAATGTATTTATAACTTGACAAAATTGTTAGGTTTATGGTGTGCTTTGATATGTTGGGAGTAAATTGACTCAGGGATTTAGTCATGTGTCTTATACTTGTCAAAGAAGTTTAGTTTCATCAACCAACTTGTAAGTAGCTTTTCTAGCACAACTTATTTGTAGATTCAGACTAAATGAAATTTTAATAATCACTTAATTTTTTCAAAGATTTATTTTTAATTTATTTGAAAGACAGTGAGAGAGGTAGAGACAGAGAGAGAGAGGTCTTCCATCCTCTGGTTCACTCCCCAGATGGCTGAAACAGCCAGAGCTGTGCCGATCCGAAGACGGGAGCCAGGAGCTTCCTCTGGGTCTCCCACATGGGTGCAGGGGCCCAAGCACTTGGGCAATCTTCTTCTGCTTTCCCAGGCCATAGCAGAGAGCTGGATAGGAATAGGAGCAGTCGGGTCTCAAACCGGCGCCCACTTGGGATGCCAGGGCTTTAACCAGCTGCACCACAGCACCAGCCCCAATTATCACTTAATTTTATCAGTCACTTTGTTCCTGTAATATTGTGAACATAGCATTGTTATCTTCTTTGATCCTTTTATAATTTTGGTAGGTAGGGAGAACAGGCACTATTCCCATTTTAAGGAGTAAGAAAGTCTCTAAGAGAAGTTAACTAGGCCGGCGCCGCAGCTCACTAGGCTAATCCGCAGCCTTGCGGCGCCGGCATACCAGGTTCTAGTCCTGGTCGGGGTGCCGGATTCTGTCCCAGTTGCCCCTCTTCAAGGCCAGCTCTCTGCTGTGGCCAGGGAGAGCAGTGGAGGATGGCCCAAATACTTGGGCCCTGCACCCCATGGGAGACCAGGAGAAGCACCTGGCTCCTGCCATCGGATCAGCACGGTGCGCAGGCCGCAGCGCACCGGCCGCGGCAGCCATTGGAGGGTGAACCAACGGCAAAGGAAGACCTTTCTCTCTGTCTCTCTCACTATCGACTGCCTGTCAAACAAAAAACAAAACAAAAAAAAAAACTAACTTATTCCAAGTTATACAGCTGTTTATGTTTTAGGGCTTTTATGTTTGTCTTTTGGTTTCCACTTTGCTGCATTAACTACATATTTAATGAACAAGAAAGGAGAAACAAATGAAGAAATAACATTCTTGGTTATATCTTTTTGCATTTGAGTAGATGTCCACTCACAATTGTAGGAAAAATAGAAAAACATTTTGGCATGCATAAGGATATCTATGAGGAAGATTTTTAAAAAATTTTTAATTTAAAAGATTTATTTATTTATTTGAAAGAGTTACAAAGAAAAGGAGAGACCTTCCACCCACTGGTTTCTCTCCTGATGGTTGCAATAGCCAGGGCTTGGGCCAGGCCAAACCAGGAGTCGGGAGCTTCATCCAGGTCTCCCACATATAGACGGCATAGGCCTAAATACTTAGGCCATCTTTCACTGCTTTTCCCAGGCCATTAACAGGGAGCTGGACCTGAAAAGTAGCCAGGACACAAACTGGCACTCATTGTGGGATGCTGGCTTCTCAGGGTGTAGCTTTATCCACTGGTGTAGCACCAGCCCCAAGGAGGAAGTTTAAATTTACATTATGAACAAAAGAACAAGAGAGCACTGAGAATGGCAAATATGTACTGAGAGGGGGAATATAAATTGGGAATGTCTGCTTTTTTCCTAATGCCTTTAATCATTTTAAATCAATAGATACATGAGGAGGTCTTCAAAAAGTTCATTAAATATGCCTATTTATGAAAAAAACTATGCATGGATTTCAAATTTTTTTCCATCAAAACAAACATCTTTTGATTCCACATTTCATGAACTTTTGGAAGTACCCTTGAATGCAAACTGCAACTGAGAATTAAGACCTGATTGTTTGTTTCAGGGAGTTGTTAATCAGAAGATTCTTTTTTCCTGATTACTTTTGATATAGTCCCTATCCACATGAAGTTTTGTCTTCATCTTCATTCTTTTTACTCATTTAATAATGTGATAATTCAGAATATATAATGTAAAAACAATTTTGAAGGCAATTAGGTAATCTATTTTTTTTAATGTGTATATATACAGAAAAATTTTCTATCTACGGGTGAAACAGATCCATCTACTCTGGGAGTTTCTCTTCCTATTGGTGAGAGGTTATCTGCAAAGGTAGGTGGATAGGAGTAGTTATTTTGGGTAATATTTTTCTGAGCCATCAAAATCATAAAAGAACATACTCCTGATTTCAATGCAAACAGAAGTTTATATTGTTTTCCCTATAATGGAATATTTCTTTTTTTAAAAATCTGTGAAGTCTCTAGCTATACTGCTTAAAAAAATTCTGAACATTACTTTGTAACCATATAATTTGATGCATTTTTGTAATATGCTGATTGTTTTCCTGTATTTGATTGTACATAATTGAATATTTAGAGCTTAATTTTTCAGTATTGGCTTCTGAACTTTATGCCATGTGATAAAGTTATTAGTGAAATGAGTGAATGTGAGCTTTTATGTGGAATGTGGGTAGGGGCTCTTTGTATGTTTTTATCAGTCCTAATGTCCTTGCTCATTAAGGGTGGTAGCAATAAAGTACTATCCACCTCTTATAAAGATAAAATGGACAATTGACAATATGTTTCAAAGGGCAGGCCTATTTTATGTAATACTGATTTAGATTGTGTTATTTCATTGACTTTGGAGGTATTAGGATTTAAGAATATTCCTTACATAATGTGTCTTTTTTTAAAAAGATTTATTTATTTGAAAGTCAAGAGTTACACAGAGAGAGGAGAGGCAGAGAGAGAGAGACAGAGAGGTCTTCCATCATTGGTTCACTCCCCAGATGGCCACAATGGCCGGAGCTGCACCAATCCTAAGCCAGGAGTTTCTCCCCGGTCTCCCACATGGGTGCAGGGGCCCAGGGACTTGGGCCATCTTCTATTGCTTTCCCAGGCCATAGAGAGCTGGACAGGAAGTGGAGCAGCCGGGTCTCAAACCGGCGCCCGTATGGGATGCCGGCACTTCAGGCCAGGGTGTTAACCTACTGCGCCACAGTGACGGCCCCACATACTGTGTCTTTCAACAGAACATTTCTGTTACAATATTTTAGTGTTTATCATAACTTTACCTTTCTATTTAAAAAGTATATAATTAAGATTCTTCTGTTGACCTTGGGAGGGAAATGATTAGCAGCAAGTGTTTTGGGGAGTGGTTTGGGGGTTTAGAGGTAAGAGACGTCCCTGAAAAGAAGAAAGGTAGCCCAGTCATATCTCCTTGAAAACCTGTAATGACAGACCTGGCAAACACATTCGTCATATTTAAGAGTTGGAGAGATTTATCTTTGGATGCTTTTGGCAGAATGCACCTGAGGTTTGTTTAGGAATGCTATTGTTAAACAAACTTGGATTTATGGGATGTGGCCCTTGGGAAATGGCATCTAAGCTCTAACTACTGCAGTATAAAATGGAGATGTTTCATTACCAAAGCAGCTTCCTTCTACTAGAAACCTCATATTAATGAACCATAGCATGTAGACATGTGTGCATGTTCTCTTCTGGAAAGAAAGATCTGGGGAGCTGAAGTAGCCATCTCAAACCTTTCTTCTCCCATGCCTGGCAATGACTTCTTTATTAGTAAAAGCTTGATTCTGGGTGAAAGCTCTGATTTGTGTGATTTTGATTTAAAATTAAAGTACTTTTTCCTATAGTTGATTTTAATATTGCCTTTTGATTTCTATTTTAAGGAAAGGTTGAAACTTGAACGCAACAGAGAATACAATCAGTTTCTCAGGGTTAAGGAAGAATCCAGTGAAAAGTCCAGACAGGTAGAAAAGAGTACTGAGGTAGGTTTTTGCTTTTAAAGTAAATATTTGGTACCACAGGATGAATATTTTGTACTTACATGAAATTTTTTTTATGTTTTAGATTTTTTCACTTTGTTTTTATGTAAATATTTGAAACAGTAAGTCTTATTAAACTAAACATAGAACATTTAATATTTTGTTTTAGAAATTATTTTGTCTTATATTGAAGAACTTACCCTGCCTTTAAAAATTTGTCCTCATTGAGGAGATTTAATGTTGGATATCAGTTTTAAGTGTTTATTTTTTATTTTTTATTTTTATTTTTTTATTTTTTATTTATTTTTTTTTATTTTTGACAGGCAGAGTGGACAGTGAGAGAGAGAGACAGAGAGAAAGGTCTTCCTTTGCCGTTCGTTCACCCTCCAATGGCCACCGCTGCAGCCGGCGCACCGCGCTGATCCGATGGCAGGAGCCAGGAGCCAGGTGCTTTTCCTGGTCTCCCATGGGGTGCAGGGCCCAAGCACCTGGGCCATCCTCCACTGCACTCCCTGGCCATAGCAGAGAGCTGGCCTGGAAGAGGGGCAACCGGGACAGAATCCGGCGCCCTGACCGGGACTAGAACCCGGTGTGCCGGCGCCGCAAGGTGGAGGATTAGCCTATTGAGCCACGGTGCCGGCCCTATTTTTTATTTTTAAGTTTAAAAAAATTTTTGAAATTTCTATCTATATCTTTTTTTTTGAGATTTAAGGATGATTGATATAAGTAGGGCCAAAAAGTTTACCACCTCTGTTCTTTTTGTTGAGAAGAATTTAATTTGGACTATATTGAAGTTACGTTTAACTGTCAAAATATGTCCAGTATCTCCTGGGGATAGGAATTTGCCATTAGCTTACTCGTTTTTTTCACAGCCACTTATTGCTGCTACCTTGTATTAGTATTTAATGTTTTATTGCAAGACACAATTTCCTTGAAGTTTTTATCCTAAAGAATTTTTTATGGGTAATTATAAACAGAGTTGAGTTGCTAAAGAACTAAGCAGAATTTGAGGATTTAATTACCTTTTAAGAGATAGTTTCTCATTAAGGTTAATTACTTTTTTCTTTTAATTGAACAGCCCAACAGTGAAGGAATTAAAAAATCTTTTAGTCGAGTTCAACCTGATGTACCTTCACTAATACAAACATCTTGCGAAAATTCAGAGGGTCCCACGACAGATATCTTAATTCCTTCAGAGGCATATGAACAGCTTCTAAACCAAAGACGATTAGAGGAAGACAGATATCGACAATTAGATGATGAAATTGAATTAAGGAATAGAAGAAATATTAAAAAAACGAATGAAGAAGCGGGCATCTCTAATACAAAGCAGCAAAGTTTTGCCAGCAAGACTGGTATTCCAGATAGAAGACTTCGCAAGTTTAATGACAACCGCATTGTTGATAGACAGTATTATAGACCAGACCAAGATCCTGAAGTAAGTGAAGAAATGGATGAGAGATTTAGATATGAGAGTGATTTTGATAGAAGACTTTTGAGAGTGTATCCAAATGACAGGTATTTACAACTTTATTTTTATTTTCTTTGTGTAATGTTACTGTTACTTTTATCATAATATTGGGAGAAGAAATTTCATTTGATTCACTAAATTTGATTAATTTTAAGATGTTGTCAATTTTATGATGTACCATTATTTTATGTTGCCACTAAGGGAAAATGTGAAACACTTGAGAGGTACTCTGTTGTGAAGGTGGGAAACTGAAAGGCTACACCTTCATGTAAAAAAAGAAAATTGGAAGATAAACGTTCCTACAGAAGGGAACAAAAGGCAACTTTCGTGTCCCAGTGCTGGCACTCAATGAGGGGAGTAAAAGAAAAATATCTTCCCTGAGAATTTGAATGTAAGCTAGTACTTATTCAGGGTCACAGTTTTTCATGCTGCTAGTAGTGTTCAAAAAAGCCTCCAAGCAAGAAATTATACAATTATCTTGATTCATTGTGTCCCTAGGTTGATGGCAGTTACAATACCAATATGTCGGCCGGCGCCGCGGCTCACTAGGCTAATCCTCCGCCTAGCGGCGCCGGCACACCGGGTTCTAGTCCCGGTCGGGGCGCCGGATTCTGTCCCGGTTGCCCCTCTTCCAGGCCAGCCCTCTGCTGTGGCCAGGGAGTGCAGTGGAGGATGGCCCAGGTGCTTGGGCCCTGCACCCCATGGGAGACCAGGAAAAGCACCTGGCTCCTGGCTCCTGCCATCGGATCAGCGCGGTGCGCCGGCCGCAGCGCGCCTACCGCGGCGGCCATTGGAGGGTGAACGAACGGCAAAGGAAGACCTTTCTCTCTGTCTCTCTCTCTCACTGTCCACTCTGCCTGTCAAAAATAAAAATAAAAAATAAAAAAAAAAAAAAAAAACAATACCAATATGTCCTTAGAACTGTATCTACAAAGCACATTGAATCTGTTAAAAACTAATTAAAAATTTAAGAAGAGAATAAGATGTGGGAACAAAGTACTGCTTCAAATAGATGAAATGGTTTATTATTCAAATGCTCTTAAGTACTTTTGTTAGTATATTTGGTTTTTGAAATTTATTTGAGAGACAGGGAGAGACTTGTGTCCACAGAGTGAGCTGCCATCCACTTGTGCCCTCCTGAAATGCCAACAATCAGTGGGACTGCCTGGGCTGAAGCCTGGAGCCCAGAGCCGGGAGCAAGGAAAACAATTCAGGTCTCCTACATGGGTGGGAGAAACCCAATTACTTGAGCCTCGCTGCTGCCTCCCTGTGTCTCCATTAGCAGGAAGCTGGAGTTAGAAATCCCAGACTTTTTCATGTGGGATGTGGACATCTTGATGACTAGGCCACGCCTACCTACCCTAATACGTGTGTGTGTGTGTGTGTGTGTATGTGTATGTATGTATGTTTAAAATTTTATTTATAAATTTGAGAGAGGTACAGACAGAGGGAGAGACAGAGTGAAAGGTCTTCTATCTGCTGGTTTGCTCCCTATATGGAGAGAGCTGGGCCAATCCAAAGCCAGGAGCCAGGAGCTTCTTCTGGGTCTCCCATGCCGGTGCAGAGGCCCAAGCACTTAGGTCATTTTTCACTGCTTTCCTAGGCCATAAGCAGACAGCTGAATTGGATGAGGAGTAGCCAGGACATAATTGGTGCCCATATGGGATGCCAGTGCCTTGGGTGAAAGCTTAGTATATTTGTTTTAAGCTGCGTGTTGAACATTTAAATGAAATGACATGAACATTTTTTCTTACTAGATTTTTAGATGCTTTTAAACTTTCTTCCAATGTTTTTTTTTTTTTGTGACACTATTTGTAATTTCTTAACTGTTACAGTGAGATCTTATTTTATTGACATGATTATCTTAATACTGAAGGTTGCTATATTTTAACCTTTTTACTTGGAGATAGAAATATTACAAGGTCTCCTATATGTCATTGACTTTTTAACTACAAAGAGCTAAATCTAGATTTTTACCAGTTTATATGACTTGATTCATTTACTAGTCCAAAGAGTTTATTATTTTAGTACTTCACAAAATTTTCATGGTTAATACTACATGATCTATGTCCTGACTGTTAATTACAATACAGAAGTTTTACAGGAATGTCCACAAATTTTTGTTTTTTTTAAAGAATTATTTTATTTATTGGAAAGGCAGAGATAAGAGATCTTCCATCCTCTGGTTCACTCCCCAAATGGCCACTGTGACTGGATCTGGGCCAGGCCAAAGCCAGGAGCCAGGAACTTCTGGATTTCCCACAGGGGCGCAGGGACCTAAGGGCCTGGGCCATCTTTGGCTTCCTTCCCAGGTGTATTAGCAGGGAGCTGGATCGTAAGTGGAGCAGCCAGGATGCAAATTGATGCCCATGTGGGACTAGCACTGCAGGTGGAGGCTTACCCTTGTATGTCACAGCTCTGGCCCCCAAACATTTATTCTTAATATCCTGTTGTAGTAGAATGCAGGAACAGAGAGGCGGGACACCCAGGCTTTTAGCTGGAAGCAGCGTTTATTTGTGCTGGCACTGGCTCAGTGGATTCACATCCAAAGGCTGAGTCTCTAATGTAATGGGCTGTTGTTTTTTTATACTCTTGATTAGTTCCTCTTTACAATTTTAGTCCCTTTGTCCCGCTTATATGGTTACATACATTCTGATTGGCTACAAGGTTGCTTCAGGATTGCAACTGGGTTGTACATACACACACAGATATGGTTAGGCCAACTAGCTCTTATTTGTTCCCCTTTTCCTGTAAGACCACTACCACATTCCCCCACTTTGATTCTTGGACCCTTCCTAGGGTCAAAGAACATAATCATGGTTTAAAGGTTTATGTTGCCATAATATTATCACATGTGAGGCCATTTTTCTTTTTGACCATGGTCTAGATAAGGCTTGTGACAGTTCTTAAAACCAAGTGAAGTAGGCAGTGTAGAATTAGGCAGGCTCTTAAAATTAAAATCAATGCCTGTGAGGGTCTTGAATTCCCCAAAATTTGAGAACCATCTTCCAGGCAACCCACTGGGATTCCGGCCTCTCCAGGTCTAGAATGGGACATAGGAAATCTTTATCATTTGGCCAGTAATTTCTTCTATGAGCTTACCCTCATCATCTATTTGTAAATGCAGTTGCTCAAATTAAATTTTCTTCAAAATTCTCCTTCGGAGGCAAGTAAGTAATCTAAGATTAAGTGGTTCTGGTAGATGGCATTTTAGTATTTTGTTTGGCCAATATATTGAGACCTTTTGCAGTTTTGTTATAATTTCAACAACAGCCTGTACTCTAATGATGTGGTTTAACATGTAAATGAGAGTATAGTACCTGTAGGACCCAACTTCTGCCCAGGTGGCTGGACCATAATAACATATGTTCTGGGGGGCTTTGTCATCCTTCCAGTGGCCAGTTTGTAAGTCACGTCACTTTCTCTGGGCTCCCCAGTCCTCATACACTTGTACTCCCCAGTGTTCTTCCCTGATTAGTGGGAGCAAGAAGAAGGAAGGATGAGTGGACTCCAACACACAAGATACCAACAAACATGGGGGAAGTACAGCATAGGCTGTCCTCCCCCTGGGGCCCATCACTGGATGTCTGCAGCAGCATTTTCCCAGGCCTGTTGGAGGTTAGAGAAGTTGGATGAAGGGTGGGGATTTGGTTCTGTATGGTTTGGGAACCCCCATACTGGGTTTTTTGAGTGCTTGTGTTATTAGAATTTTTGGCCTAGGCATATCAGGTTTCTGTCAGAGATGTTAAATTGTCCTCTTTAGGCAAGGCAGTGCCATCTAATTATTGACGTTTTAACCACAATAACAGGGCAGGGATACCATGTCTTATTATAAAGTTTGTAGGGATCTAGTTTACTAGCTTCCCAAGGCCAAGATGAAACATTGAAAGTTTGAACTACAGGTCTGCCAACATCAAGAACAGATTTCTGGTGGTAATTGATATGGTGGGGGGAGGTCATTTTTCATAAAAGGAATGGTTGTCTTCATGAGATGAGGTCTTATGTGAAGTTGAGACCCTTTTGACATATAGTTCCAGGATCTTGTCCTTGCCCATGGATAGATATAGCAATTTTGTGGCCAAATTTCCACTAGAGTCCTTCGAGTTGAGAGTGGTAAAGTAAATGGGGTTACAGGATCCTGATTGACAGTTTGATGTATGACACCACTTTGGAGGAGGACTGTTTTGTCCTTATTCTGCCAAGAGGACCATGATACATAGTTCCTAGTTGGGACACACACACATCTTGAACTGAACACAGGGACCCAGGACTGGATTGTTCATGCATCTATTAATCATTGAGTGTGTGTTTTTGTTCCCAAACTAAATTTCTGCATGGCACATTCCTAGTTGTAAGTTTTTGTCTATGACTTTGCAAACATAAAAAAATATTGATACTGGTAGTTTTAAGTCAGTGATCTGGGTCCATTTAAGGAGTGTTCCCTCTTTATGGTACTTTGGACCTCCAGCCATTCCTTGCCTGAGGGGTACTGCTGGCCAAAAAATGTACTGGTCCCTTTGTTGGCAGATAGAATTGGTGGTCTTGTTATGTCGACAGATCCCTGAGACTGTTCCCTGGCTAGAGAGATGGGTATGATAAAGTAGGGTTTTGGCAACACCCTGGCCTGATAAAGTTAAGCAAATACATTGATCACAGGCTGATGTTCTTAGGATCATGAAAGGTGGCCAGATTAGAAGCAGCAAATAGCAGCTAAGCATCCTATCCCAAGGAGGTAAAAGTGAAAAATAGAAAGCTTTTGCCACAGGTCCAGTTGCCTGGGACAGTTTCTGCCAACCCTATGTTGAAGATCAGGGCAAAAATAATAGCAACAGATAAGTGCAGGGAGTTACTATGCATTACAGTAGGAGGACTGATAAAGCAAACAAGAACAATCCATATATTTCATCAGGTGGTCGATTCCTCAAGCTTCTGTCATAAGTAGGTTGATCAGCTTCCAGAGTGATTAACACAGGCTATAGTCCTTGGAGGTCTCCTGTGATGAGGCTTATTTCTTCCAGATGGTCAGTTTGCCTGGTGCTGCCCAGTC